GAAAAAAAACAAGGCAATCTGGGTAACGCTCTAGGGAAACCCCAAGAAATACACCAAAAAACTTGGAAATGGATTTAAAAAAAAAAAAAGTTGAAATGAGAGAACTTGCAATAACAGCAGAAATGGTGGAGTAATCAAGGGAAATCAAGAACTGGTCAGCACCAGGTGACGATGAACCATAGTTTTTGCTTGAAACATTGGTCTACACCAGTGATGGGATTCAGCCAGTTCTCATCTATCAGGGAGAACCGGTTGTTAACTTTCTAAACAGTTTGGAGAACCGGTTGTTGGAAGAAATATCCTTTTGTTTCCTTCCACTTTAGAGGACTAATCCTGTAAGGAAGGTAAGAAGGAAACATTCTGGTATTGTTTCTAGCCCGATCTTTATTATCCTGATTACAGAAACTGCTTCTCCTTATTACATTGTAACAGCTAAGAAGAAACACCCATCTACATGAGTTATGTTGAGTTGGCCATGCACACCCAGTCACATGACCACCGAGCCATGTCTACTCAGATGGTTATTAGGGCAGAGAACCGGTTGTTAATATTATTTGAATCCCACCACTGGTCTACACCCATTCATTGCCTAGAAGTTTAACAATACACTGTAAAGGAGGTGAAATTGAAGATAGGCTAACATCTGGCAAAACCTACTTGGTAATGAAATGCACCAGGTAACAGCTGAGAAATTACCTGCTTGTCAAGGACTGCCAATGATTAAGGGTGCAATCCTGTATTTATTTGCTGTGCCACTGGACTCAAGGGGGATTTCCTCAGAGCAGAACAAGCGCTATAATTAACCGGAATTTTAGCAATGCAGCTAGAACTGCAGCCACAACGGATGAAATTACAGCCCCCGCTGAACAATACAGCTCTGGCAGGAACCCTGTGAGACAAATACCTATTTCCTTTCAAATAAACGTTATGTTTTATGACCCCGGGTTACCCAGCTGTGAGAGACTATTACCCAACTAAACCTATCCATAGGTGCTCAAAAGTTGGGTTCCCTCGAAACGGGTGGAAATGGTTTTGCCGTCAACAGCAACAAACAGATATTCCGGGTGCCATCCTAACATTCGGGAGATGAACTGACTAAAGTCACCATCATTCCCCAAACAGCTGATTTATCCCACTGTAACTAGAGAAGGAAAGTCATAAGGCTTATGGTCAAGTCATCTCAAGGGGGTCAGGCGCTCATCTTGATGTTTACCTCACCATAAAGTACTTCCCGGCAGCAGAGTGGACAGGATTCGTTCCCACAGCAAGGAAAGAAGGTCTAGAGATCCTCCACTCCGGGGTGTGTGGTGGGGGACCACAACGGCAAATCGTTCTTACTAGCGAATAGTTTTCTTCCACAGCGAACCCCCCCCCCCGCCCCCGCCCGAGCTCTGCAGGAAGATTGCGCACGAAGATTGCGCGTGGGCTACTCTGGACCAGAGAAAGGCTGTGACTTGCCACCTTGCAGGTCCTCGTGTCCCGCGCGTCATTTCTTTCTTTTTTCTTTTTTGTCTCCAACACCCACTTTTCCCGTTTGGGTCTCGGCCAGACCGTCCGCGGGGAGGGGGGAGGAGGGGGGGCGACGCCTCGGGGCAACGAGTGACGTGGATGTCGCAAGCCGTTAGTTAAAAAGGGGGCTCTTCTGCCCCGGCTGTACAGTCCGGAGAGCAGCTGTCGCGGGGCCGCAGTGGGTGTTTTTCTAAGCAGGCTCTTTGCAAAGCTGGAGGAAATGCAACCTTTACAGCAGAACTGCCAGCCCGTCAGGCCGTTTAAGCAAAGGAAAAGTTTTGGTAAGCGGCGGAAAGTGGGCTTACCCTACGTACGAGGCGATTGGTTGGGAAATCAGGCTGGCGCCTTATTTCCCCTGAATTCTGGCGGAAACCGCTAATCTCCGTGGGACGGACGGACTGCTCTGGGATCGGGGACGGGGTTGCTGAAAGCACAGCCGGGCGCCGGCTTTTCCACCGCTCTTTGGAAAGGAAGAAAAGGAAAACGCCTCCGGCGATCTGACCTGCGTGGGGGCAGCTCGGCTTTGCAGGGCTGACCGTCTTGCAGTCCGCTACCTGCTACCTTGGGAGTCGAGGTTTTTCACCTCCACGCCCCCGTTAGGTGAAAACTAATGGGTCTTTCTTGTCATTTTATTTTCACAGCCACCCGAGTGGAAGAAGTAGCAGGCATTCGTGGGAAGTTCCCGACAAAAGTTCCAGTAAGCCTCTCTTTCTCTTCTCTGCTAAATACTCCTAACATTTGCCTAGTTTCTGTTGTTGTTTTTTAAGTGTACCTGACTCAGGGCAGGTTTTCTTGGCCAGTGGTATCATTACCTTCTGTAGATAACAAGAAGTCTGCTTAGGATTGTCTCCTGCTGATAGTAGTAGATGCTTCCACTGGTAGCATGTCCACTGCTTTTAAACATGTTGTGCTTTCTTCTTTTTGAACCAGGTAATTGTTGAAAGATATCAGAAAGAAAAATACCTCCCCCTGTTGGACAAAACAAAGTTTCTTGTACCACAAGAGTTAACTATGACACAGTTTATAACCATCATTAGGTATGTAGCAAGCCACAGATGGGCTATTTATTATTTGTCGGCTGTCAGTGCTTCTGTGCGCACACCCCCTGGCCTGTCTATTTTTGCTACAGGGCTTCTAAGAAAACTTGGGAACTTTGCAAATAGTATGGCTTCTGTTACCCAACACCTTTCTGTGACTTTTCTTCCATTGCTTTGATGAGGTTCAGTCCTTTGAGTCCTCTTGCAAAGTATTCCTCATTATTTGCACAAAGGTATGGTGAGAAAACTAGGCTAGATTAATACAGTCCTGTCTTTTTTTCCTCCTCTGTTTTTTTAAAGTTCCTAGATTGTTTCAACCATCCAAGAAGAGTTTGATACAACAGATGACCAAGATTTATTTTTTTAAATCTATACCGTTGTGCTTTAAATTCATTTCAATCTATTTTTATTCTCAGCTAGTTTTCCCCAGTCCTATGCAATCCAGACATGTTCAGCTTTCAATTCCAATATCGACATCAGCCCAAAGTATAGGAAAAGTAATGCTTTAGGAAAAGCTATCCTAAATGCATGTGCATATCTCAGAATAAATACTGACATTTTATTCTTCAGAATCCAGGATGTAACTATGAATTTTTTATTTGGAAAAATGGGACATAGCATCAGTAGCTAAGACGCTGAGCTTGTCTATCAGAAAGTTCTGCAGTTTGAATCCCTAGCACCGCGTAACAGAGTGAGCTCCTATTACTTGTCCCAGCTTCAACCAACCTAGCAGTTCCAAAGCACCTAAAAATGCAAGTAGAAAAACAAGAACCACCTTTGGTGGGAAGGTAACAGCGCTCCATGCTCCTTCGGCGTTTAGTCATGCCGGCCACATGACCACGGAGACGTCTTCGGACAACACTGGCTCTTCGGCTTTGAAACAGAGATGAACACTGCCCCCTAGAGTCAGGAACAACTAGTACATATGTGCGAGGGGAACCTTTACCTTTATTCATTCCATCTAGTAATTTACTTTTAAATTTTCCTTCATTTTAAAAACTACTTGCTATGAGCTGGCAAGGGCACTTAAGTATAAATCAAAAAAAAAACTTCAGGTCTGCAGAATTCATTGCATAACATTATTTTTATCTCAGCTCTACTGCTTCAAGAACTCTTTAAGCTCCTATGACTATTGCTGATCTCAAAATTGATTAGAATCTCTTATAGCCAAGTGAAATAAAGCAGTACATACAAAGTGAGATTACAGAAACTTGGAATGTTCATTAACTGCCATTTTCAAGGTCATAGACTTATCCAATATGTGCTACCCATTAGAATTTCCCAAATAGTGCTCAGAATATTTAATCTTCGCTCATCCAATTCTGCCTACAGGAGTATGATTCTTGGAATTATAAAAAATATTTAAAAGTTTTGATTAAGAAGCACACTACATTTAAAAAAAATAATATGCTTATTGCTTTGTGACTACACAAAAAAGTAGTGTGCATTTAATCAGCCAAATAAAATTAGCTAAAATTAGTGTGAAATGGCAAGGAACTCCACCGTTAACATCTCCTAGTCTCTACACTCTAGGAACAAGTTGAATTATCTTTGCTGTTTGTAACCTTCCTGTACCACCCTCACTATGGAATCTAAACCCCTAAATAAATGCCTTAATAACACGCAAGCTAAATAAATATCTGAGAGCCAATTTGGTGCAGTGGTTAAGGCATCCAGCTAGAAACCAGGAGCCTGTGAGTTCTAATTATGTTTTAGGCACAGAGGCAGCTGGGTGACTTTAGTGCCAGTTGCTGTCTAGGAAAAAGGCAAAAGCATACCACTTTTGAAAAACCTTGCCAAAAAACTGCAGGCAGTCACAAGGCATCAAAAACCGATTTGATGGCACAAAAAATAAATAAATACTAACGTTAATGATAAATGTAAAAAGCTACACTGAACACTATGAAGCTTATCCCAGAAAAATGGAATGCATGTTGGATAGTCTGGACAACTTAAAAATCCATCTTCTTCCTTAACCCTTTTTCAAAGTACAATATACCATTTTCTGGTGGCAACTTTGCACTTGACCATGTATGTAGCTAATCTACTGTCTATCTACTCTGAAGGAGTTTGCATATTTTAGAAGAATGTCTGTTTTCTTTGTTAATCCAGAAGCAGAATGGCATTGAGTGCTACCCAAGCTTTCTACTTGCTGATAAACAACAAGAGTTTAGCCAGTATGTCTTTAACTTTGGCCGAAGTATACCAAGACTACAAAGATGAAGATGGATTTGTATACATGACATATGCTTCCCAAGAGATGTTTGGAGGTCTAACTACTTCCAAAGTAAAATGCAAGGAATATCTCCTAAAAAGATAAGTCTTCACTTGGTGGCAGCATGGCTGAACAGTGAGCTGTACATCATTCAGATTACTTGAAGATGAAAGGTGCTCTGTCTAACGCGGGCTCTTCTGCAAAATTAATGGCCCAGGAGTTGGCAAGACCCAACTAAAGAACTGAGGAGTGGGATAAACCATCCCAAACAAATGAAATGGACACATAGTTTAATAATTTGGCTCCTTGCCAGCCAAAGACATTAGTAGTGATATGCTACCCTTAAATCATGTATCTGCTTAAAAAAGTGTTGCCGTAATTGGAAATGAATGAAAACGATGAAATTTTATAACCAAGTTAAATGACCTGGACACGAATTGTCTGCTTAACAGAGAATAACATGTGCACTAGAGAGTAGCAAGCTGTCATAGTTAGCTGAACATTGCAAGGCTGAGCCAGCGCTGACTTTTATATTGTCTGCTTTTATCAAAGCCATTTGCTTTCTTCCTCCAAGAGGAATATTGCTGATGAGTAGGATGGCACCGTAAATTTTGCAGGACGGTCTTTCCACAGACTAGAAGTCGCTCCCTTTACAGAATAGTGACAACTACACACAAGCGGCTTGTAGAATTGAAACTAATATGGTGTAATATAATGGACTCTAATGTTGGGAAAGGAGAAAGGAAAGAGGACAACCAGCAGCAAGGTAGATAGATTCAGTTACCGTAACAATGAGTGTACCATCAGAGTTCCTGAGGGACCAGATTAGGAACAGAGTATCATAAAACAAATCTATAGGGTCACCAAGAGTTGACAACAACTTGATGGCATGTAATCATCAGTCCTTCAGAGAACATTATTGCACACACACATTCCTCAGATATCAATTGCTAAAAATTAGTAAGTGAGTTTTGTTGGGGGTGGTGATGACTGTGTCAAGTAATGCAAGAACATAGCCACTTAAATAGGAACGCAAATTCCTATATGGCATCTTGCAATTGTTTAACTTGTATGTGACTAACTCAGCGTTGGTGCTGAGGCAGCAACTCCAGAAGCTAGAACAGTAGCCTTATCACAAGGCTGTGTTCTTGCCTTTTGAACTCTGCTCTGAGCTTTAACTTTGATTGAAGATAAGATTATAGTATAAAGATGAGCTGTGTGGGTGAATATGCATGTGTAATTGTGTATGTATGTGTGTGCTGTAGAGTCATATGTTGTATTTCATAAAGTGCACCAGGATTACAAGCTACTTAGTCTAAAGCCAGCTAATAAAACCATGTCTTTGAGACTCTTCTATCAATGCCATACTTAAGAAAAATCTATCTCAGTAGAACTGTCTTAAGGTTGCCCCCAAGTTAAAATCCTGTTGGTAGCCTCTCACTGCCCAAATGATTTGGAAATCTTGGAAGAGTTTTGGAAGGAACAAACTGAAGAGTTGCTGGTATTCACCCCAGAAAATATTGTTAGTTTTCCTTCCAACGTAGACAGGAAGACAGATAAATTTCATGTCCAAAATAGTGGTTTTGAGGAGTCATTGGTTGTAAAGTGAACAGATTTGTTGATCTGGTAAGACACAAAGCTTTATTTGATGGACAAGTTCTGGCTCACATGTAAAGATCCTAACCCAGGGGTCCCCAACCCCTGGGCGGTGCAAACAAACAAAGCTCCATCAGTGGGATACAGGCAGCACACAAAACCATGCTTCCTCCGGTCGGTGGAAAAACTTTTCTCCACCAAACCAGTTCCTGGTGCCCAAAAGGTTGGAGGCTGCTGCCCTAACCTAATTTAAGAATATTTTATCCAGTTATACTCGATGCTTTTTTGTGAAGTGAAAATAGATATGTATTTGTTGAAAAAAAATTAGAACAATAACTCTGTCCTTTAAAATTGTGTTTCTCTCAATATCCTTTATATACGAGTAGTTCAACAACTTTTTGTGCATTTCTAAAAATGACATGCATTTATTTCTGCTTTAACAAGATGACACAGTTTCATTAAAGTAAATGTTTTTGTCTAGTCCATATTTATGGCTGTGCCTGCAGGAGGGGTGCACATTTTTACATGTATTTTCTTATATGCCTTTTTGTTATTTTGTGACACAAGCTGTTTTTTGTTCAATTAAAAGAGAGTTTAGCCATTATGGCATTTAAGACAATATTTGTTTGGCAAGACCAACATTCAAAATCGTTAGAATTGCTGCAAGAATGTGTGTAAAATAGGATGCCACAGAGTAGCTAATACATAATTGCCCTTAAAGGGATTTCTCACTTGCAACAGTCTGCAATATGTTTTTCTTCTTTTTCTCAAAGAGAGTCAAATAGTATGTTCAAGGTATTAACTGTACTATTTTTGAAATGATTTGCTCTTCTTTCTTGAGAGTAAAAGACTGAAATATTGTGGTTTCATTATGAAAAGAATGAACTGGAGAAAAATTAAACATTATGTAACTAAAGGACCTTGGTCTGAAATTTCTTGAGACTTCCGAAATGACATGTACAGTATTAAATGTATTACAAATTAATAGGTTCTAATGATACATTAATAATTTGTGAAATATATATGCTGGCCAACTCTAGTTACTTTGGATGGTTTACAAATGGTTAACATTTAAAATGATAATTCTCCTCCTCCCCCCCAAAAAATAAAGATGGCAAAAATGTCTAAGCGTGATGGGAACAAGGGGGGGGGGGGAAAGTGTGTGTGGGGGAGAGGGTTCTTTGATTATGCTTTCCAAAGGCTGGTCGATGAATGAAGTCTTCAGGGCCCTTTGAAACCCCAACAAAGCAGAGGCTGTATGAATCTTGGGGAAACAACATTCTATAAAAAAATTTATGTAAATACTGGGTTTTATTACATGTGTGAAGCTAGCTTGAAAGCTGAGGTATTAAGGAACTGGACAATACATACAGAATATAAATGAATGAATGAATGTCTTCTTAATAGAATAACAGAGTTGGAAGGGACTTTGGAGATCTTGTTGTCCCTGTTGAAACAAAAAAAACACCATACCATTAGCAGTGTATCTTTATATACTTCCACCATATATTTATAACTTACATCCTTATAAGAAGGTAGGATTACATGCAGTTGAAAGAGAAAGCACTGGTGTGTTTCCAAATCCAAATTTGGTTGAGCATTGGTACTCTAACACTATATTCAACTTAGAGATGACTTATTTTCTACAATCAGTAGTCGTTAATTACTGAAAAATTGGAGTGTTCAGCACAGGAACTGAAAACCAATAATTAATGAATCTAAATAGGTGATTGAATTCTATTGGAAATGTAGGAAAAAGAATACTGTATATACTCAAGTATAAGCCTAGTTTTTCAGCCCACTTTTTGGGCTGAAAAAAGCCACCTCGG